TTCTGCCACCGTCCAGTAAGAACTGATGGAACACACAGGTGCCCTGAACTGACCCAGAGAGCGGAGAAAAGGATGGTGGGTGCCAAGGCTCACCCCCGGGGAGAAGTGCACAACCACCAAGCAGGGCGCTCGGGGACAGGCTTGAGGCGCGGGCCGAACACTCCTCTTGGGGGCGACTGTCTCCCCAAAGACAGTCCCCAGCTCACACACGTGTGCACGCGTGCACACCGCCTGCCACGCTGGTTTCCTCCCTCTTCTGAATTCTCACGCCGAGGCTCTACACTGTGCAAACCAGAGAGCAGCAGCCTAGCCACACTGCTTGCCTCGGCCATCCCTGCTGATCACAGACACGCACAGTCCTCCTCCCGGCCGAGCACCCGCCATGTGCAGAACAAGCAGCTGGGAAGCCCTGGCCCTCAGCTCCACGCTGCCGCAGAGTGGGAGGCCTGACATCACCCTCCTCTCAAGAAGCACGGGTGGAGCCTTGCTCTGAGAACAAAGGTCAGCAGCCAGCCAGCCCTGCTCTGCCTTCAGTGGCACCCTGCAGTGCCCTCTGCCCCTCGCTGTCCCCTCTTCCTTCCTGCTTTTGCCTTTGGTCCGTGCTTCCTTATCCCAGCTCCAGGACCCCTTCCTTGGAGCCCTTCCCACACCTGCTGAGTCCAATCGAGCCCCTGGGTCATTTGACTCATTGAACTTGTTTCTTTCCTCCAGAGCACTGTCTCAATTTGTAATTCCGCCCTAATTAGTGGGATTATCTGATTGATGACAGCCTCTCACTCAGGGGTGAGCTGCCTGAGAACCCAGCTGTAGGTGGCTTGCTCAGTCGTTTCCCAGCGCCTGTCCTGACGCTGACACACACTCCGGGGTCAGTGTTTCCTCGATGAGTCAGCGGCTGAGTCAGGGAGCTGCACTTGGCCCTGGACAGTCACTCAGACCAGATCTCTACCCTGTTCTAGTGACAGGCAGAGACAGACACAGCAGCTTGTGGGCCTGAGAGCAGAGCTGCCCTTACTGTCTGCCATTGTCAGTACCTGTGGCTCTTGGCGCACATCGTGACACTTGTGCTGTGCAAACCCAGGTTGTGGATGGCCTTTTGTGAAGCTTCAGTTTGCATTTCAGTTGTGTTGTTTAGTTGTGTTGTCATGCCGGAGACTGAACCCAGGCCCTACTTTTTATTTTATTTTATTTTATTTTTTTA